CCAGGGGCACTGAGGGATTTGGGGGGCAGGAAAAGGACTCCCCACCCCAGCTCAGCATCACCCCATGGCACTGTCAGGGGGCTCAGGACCCCAACTGTCCCTGCCCACCCAGCACCCAAAGGTCCCTGCACAGCACCCTTCCCTCTGCTCCATCCCCAAATCCCTCTGGGCACTCCCAGGGGCGCTGGGCAGGGGGCACAGGGTGTGGGGGGCACTGCCTGGCCCCCGTGGGACCCCCCCAAGCCCTGCTCACCCTCAGCACCAGCCTCCAGCACCGTGATCTGCAGCTCCTCGTCCCCTCCGGCCCCCCAGTCGATGCCACCCTCCTGCTGGGACACAGAGGTGACACTGGGGTGGGGTGGGGGGACCAGGACACTCCCAGGACACCCCCCAGGACACCCCCCAGGACACCCCTCAGGGCCCTGGAGCAGGGTCTGATCCCGGGGGGAACAGCCAGGGGGGGTCACAGGGCTGGGGACTGGGATGCTGTGACCCCCCAGGGCTGTTTGGGGGGGTTTGGGGGCTGTTTTAGGGGTGTCTGGGCTGTTTTGGTGGGTGGGAGCTGTTTTGGGGAGAAAGGGGCTGTTAGGGACGATTTAAGGGCTGTTTAGGAGGGTTTGGGGGCTTCTTTGTGTGGGTTGGGGGCTGTTTTGGGGAGAAGGGGTCTGTTTGGGAGGGTTTGGGGGCTGTTTAGGAGGGGTTGGGGGCTGTTTAGGAGGGTTTGGGGGCTGTTTGGGAGGGGTTGGGGGCAGTTTGGGAGGGGTTGGGGGCAGTTTGGGAGGGGTTGGGGGCTGTTTAGGAGGGTTTGGGGGCTGTTTTGGGTGGGGTTGGAGCACTTGGTGACATGGGTGGGGCCGGGACACCCCCAGGCCCTGGAGCAGGGCAATCCCAGCCCCGGGGGGGTGTCACACACCTGAGCACTGGGCTCCACCGTGATCCCCCAGTCGATCTCCTCGCCCCCCTCGGCGGCTCCTCCATCCCCTCCCGGGGGGGGATCCAGCGGGAAATCCCCCCAGTCGATCTGTGGGAAGGACCCCGCTGAAACCTTTTGGGAGGGAGGGGGAACAGCCGGAGCCCGCCGAGGCCCCGCAGAGGAATTTGGGGTCCCTCGGAGGGACTGACCGTGTCCTCCCGGGGCGGCTCCGGCTCCTCCTCCCGCAGCTCCGGCCGCTCCACCCGCCGCGGCTCCCGGCCCGTCCGCCACTCCTGCACCGTGGTGTTCCCGCGGGCACACACGTGCCTCAGGAGGGGCACCACGGCCTCCGAGGGGCTGGGGGCATGGGGGGGACACCAGGGATTGGGGGGGATCATCCTGAGGCAGTACCACCTCGGTGGGGCTGGGGGCATGGGGGGGACAGCGGGGATTGGGGGGGATCACCCTGAGGCATCACAGGGTCACCGGGGCTGGGGACACCACGGGGACAGCTGGGATGGGGGGGATCATCCTGAGGCATCACAGGCTCAGCAGGGCTGGGGACACCATGGGGGGACAGCGGGGACTGGGGGGGATCATCCTGAGGCATCACAGGGTCACTGGGGCTGGGGGGGATCACCCTGAGGCAGCACCGCCTTGGAGGGGCTGGGGACACCACAGGGACGGCAGGGATGGGGGGGGACAGCAGGGATGGGGTGAGGCAGCACCGCCTTGGAGGGGCTGGGGACAAGGGGGGGACACCAGGGATGGGGGGGGATCATCCTGAGGCATCACAGGCTCAGCAGGGCTGGGGGGAACAGTTCCAGGGAGCTGGGGATGGGGAAACCACCCTGAGGCATCACAGCCTCATTGGGGCTGGGGACACCACAGGGGGACATCAGGGATGGGAGAGACCACCATGAGGTGTCACAGGCTCAGCAGGGCTGGGGACACCATGGGAGGGACATCAGGGATGGGGGGGGACCACCCAACCCCACCCGGAGAGCCCCAGACTGGGGGGGCAGGTCCTCGGTGGGGACAGGGGGCAGGAGGAGCTCTCCTTGGGGGTCTGTCCCCCTGTCCCTGTCCCCTAGGGTCTGTCCCCCTGTCCCTGAGGGTCTGTCCTCGAGGGTCTGTCCCAAAGGGTTTGTTCCTGGGGGTCTGTCCCCAAGGGTCTGCCGTCCTGTCCTTGTCCCTCAGGGTCTGTCCCCAAGGATTTGTCCCTGGGGGTTTGTCCCCCTGTCCCTGAGGGTCTGTCCCCAGTGGGCTGTCCCCAAGGGTCTGTCCCCCTGTCCCCGAGGGTCTGTCCCTGTGCCCCTGTCCCCGTACCTGTCACACACGAAGCCCACACAGGCCTGGTAGAGCTCGATGGCCTCCCCCAGGTCCCCCACGGCGTCCCCGACACGGGACAGCAGCGAGGGCAGGTCCTGCACCAGGGCCAGCAGCTCCTGCCGCACGTTGTCACCCTGGGGACACCGGGGGACGTGTCACTGGGGGGGGACAGGCAGCCAAAGCCCCCCCTCGGGGGGCTCTGGGGGCAGGACGGGGACATGGGGGGGTGTGGGGTCACCACGGACCCCCAGCTCCTGCCCTGGGAGTGGGGACACCACAGGGACACCACGGGGACACCACGGGGACACCATGGGGACACTGCTGCCAGTCTGAGCCCTCCCAGGACAGATGGGGGGGTGGGGGCTGCTCTGGGTGGGAGGGGGTTGTCTGGGGGTGTCAGGGGCTCTTTTGAGGGGAGGTTGGGGGTGGGAGGGGGCTGTTCTGTGGGGTTTGGGGCTGGTTGTTGAGGGGTGGGAGCTGTTTCGGGGGGAAGGGGGTGTTTAGGAGGGTTTGGGGGTTGTTTTGGGATGTGAGGGGCCTGTTTTGGTGGGTGGGGGGTGTTTTCAGGGGTTGGGGTCTGTTTTTTGGGAGGTGGGAGCTGTTTTGGGGAGATGGGTCTGTTTAGGAGGGTTTGGGGCTGTTTCTGGAGGGTTTGGGGCTCTTTTGGGGTGGGAGCTATTTTCAGAGGGGTTGGGGGCCATTTTGGGGGGGGCTGTTTTCGGGGATTGGGGGCTGTTTTGGGGCAGGCTGGGGGCTGGTTTCGGGGCTGTTGGTCCCCCCCAGGCACTCACAGTGATTCCATACTGTTTGCAGGAGGCCAGGAAGCGCTCCCTGAGCTCGGCTGCTCCCACCTGACACTCCTCTTCCCGCCGGGAAAAGTCCTGCTGGGCCTGTTGGCACCTCCCGAGCTGCCTCCGCAGGGACGGGATCTCGTAGCTGATGCTGCGGACCAGGAGGCTGGAGAGCTCGGCTGGGGGGGCACCCAGGGCAGGGGGGGTCACCCAGGGGGGTCTCAGGGCATCCCAGACCCCTCAGAGCTCCACCCCGGCGGGATTTGGAATTCCAGCACATCCCGTCCCTTCCCCATCCCAGTCTGGGGGTTGGATCCCACCCACCCGTGGGGGGCCTTGGGATGCCCCAGACAACCTGGGGGTCCCATCCCATCGTGTCCTGCCCACCCCATCCCAGGCTGGAGCCTGAATTCCATCCACTCACACGGGCCTTGGGGCATGCCAGACCCCTCAGAGCTTCATCCCGGCGGGATTTGGAATTCCAGCACATCCTGTCCCTTCCCCAGCCCAGTCTGGAGATCCCACCACCACCCCCAGGGTCCCTCCAGAGCCCCCCAGCCCCCCCTGCCTTACCCAGGTAGGTGTTCTCCTTCTCATAGAGGGCCACGATCTCCTGCCAGTCCTGGGGGGAGGAAGAGCAGGATGAGGAGCGTGAGGAAGAAGAGGAGGCAGAGGATGATGAGGAAGGTGAGGAGGAAGAGGAGGGAAAAAAAAGGAGGAAAAAAAGGAAAAGGAGGAAAAAAAGGAGGAAAAGGAGGCAGAGGATGAGGAGGGTGAGGAAGGGGAGGATGGTGAGGAAGGCTGAGCCCCCCCAGCCCCGTCTCACCTTCATCCGCTGGGATGAGTAACGGCCAAAGAGGTTCTTGGTGGAGGCCTCGGTGCCCTTGAGGATCTCCACGATCCTCAGGCAGTGGAAGTAGTGCAGGTCTGGGGTGGGGGGGTGGGCTGGGATCACTGGGAAGTCTGGGATCACCCCAGGAAGTCCAGGGGGTGTCACCCCCTCCCAGCTCAGCCCCAACTCCCGACTCCACCGACTCCCATCTCCCGGCTCAGGGGAGACCAAACCCCCACCAAACCCTTGGGAACAGGCTCCCAGCCCGTCTCCCGGCTCTCCCAAGGGATCCAGCCCCCTGATGCCACTCACAGGATCCCTCCAGGAGCTGCTTGATCTCCTGGTTCTCCGGCATGTCCTGGATGGCCACGTCGATCCGCTGCCGGATGAGCTGCACTTGGCTCTGCCACTTCAGGCTGCAGTGGCGCCTGTCCACGAGCCAGTCTGGGGACAGGGGGGGACAGGGGGGGACAGGGGGTCACCTGGGGGGGCACAAGGCGGGGGTGACCCCCCCAGACAGGCTCCAGGGGCGGGAAGGGAGCACAGAGCCTGCGTGTTCCAGGGGGAGGAACGGTGGGAGGAATTCCCGGCTCGTTCTCAGGTGTGGGAGGGGAAAAGGGGGCCCCGGGGGGGGGGGGGGGGGGGGGGAAAAGACAGGGAGGAATTCCCAGATCTTCTCCAGGTCTGGTGGGGAAAGGGGGGATTGGGGTGGGGGCCAAACACTGGGATGAATTCCCAGGTCTGTGAAGGGCTGGAGTGGAAAGAGGGGAAGCCAGAGTGGAGGGTCAAACACTGGGATGAATTCCCGGCTCCCTCCCCGGCTCCGGAGGAGACAGAGGGGTCCCCAAATCCCGGGATGACTTTCCCACACCGCACCCAGGAGTTTGCTGGTCTGGATGTCGATGGGCACGTTCCGGTAGTCCTGGGGAGGGACCTGCGGGGGGGACACGGAGGGAGCGGGGCTGGAGGAGCCCGACCGGGATCGGCACCGGGAGCAGCACCAGGATCGGAGTCGGGGGGGGACCCCCTGCTCCAGCGCCCGGGTACGGCCTGTCCCCGCTGCCCCGAGCCTGGGGCCCTTCCCCGCTCCCTGAACGCGGCCCTGGCCCCGCTCCCGGCCCCCTTCCCGATCCCGATCCCGTCCCGATCCAACACCTCCATGTCGCCATCAGCGCCACTTCCGCCTTCCCCCGCCGCAGCCAATCTTCTGCCTCGGCGCGCGCCCCTCAGCCAATCAAAACGTGTTCTGTCCAAAGGGCCCGCCTCCTCACCAATCAGAACGCGGCATCCCGGCGGCAGCGCCACGTGCCGGCGTCGCGATTGGCTGGAGAGGGGAAGGGGCGGGTCCAGCCTGGACCAATGGGAGCACGGGGTCTCTCTCTCGGAGGGTCCCGATCCCGATCCCGATCCCGCTCCCGGAGGAGCCCCAGGACAGAGCCGGGAATCCCCCAGGGAACCCCCACAGCCGCCCCTCACGGTCCCAAGCACACCCCAGATCCAGGGGGGATCCCCAGGTGTCCCCAGAGCGGATCCCGGATCCCTCGGGGATCCCAGATCCCTTGGGAAGCACTGGATGCCCCAGCACAGAACCAAGATCCCCTCGGGATCCCCAGAGCCTGCCCTACATCCCTGGGGGATCTCTGGGGGGGTGTCCTAGAGCAGATCCCAGATCCCTCAGGGACCACTGGATGTCCCAACAAGGAACCCGGGATCAGTTCTAACTCTTCCCCATGGACCCATGAGGGACCTGGGATCAGTTCTGACTCCCCCCCCCGGGATCTGGGATCACTTTTATCCCCTCCCAGGAATCCCCAAGGGACCTGGGATACCCTCTGCCGTTCCCGTGGGGATCTTGGCTCTGCGCTTCTCAAGGGATCCGGGACGTGCCACCCCCAGGTCCAGAGCCGGGGAGCCACCAGCTCGTCCCCACGCGGGGACACGTCCCGTGGGGACACACCCCGTGCGGGGACACCCCGTGGGGAGCAGCGGGAGGCACGAACCGGCCCCGTTTCGGCCGATCCCACCGGCAGCCGGAGCCTTGGACCCCCGGGCTGCCCGACCTCGGGTCCATGTGCCACCTCGAGGCCGTCGGGGCGGCGACACCGGAGCTCCCACGGCCAGCCCGGTGCGGTGGCGGCCACCCGGGGCCACTCAGAGCCACCCGGGCGGTGCTGGCACCGCTCCCCGTCATGAATATTCAGCCCAGCCTGGCCCGGCCCCGCTGTTTGCTCCGGCAGGAGGGGTTTGGGCGCGGGTTCACCTTGACGGGAACACCGGGACGGCGGCAGGTGAACGGCACCTGCCCGCGCCCCCCGGCCGGGACACCCCCGGGACACCCCCGGGATACCCCGGGCGTGGGAGCTGCAGGTACAGGGACGGGGTGTCCGAGGTGGGGACGGGGTGTGGGAACCCCGGGGACACCCCTGGGACACCCCGGGGACACCAGTCGGGGGTGGTCCCACCTGGCTTTGGCACGGGGGGGGCGTGGGGGGACACAGGGGCCACCACCCCACTGGTGGCCCTAATTTTTGTGACCTCGCCCCCATTTCCAGCGAGGACAAGGGGGTGTTTTATCCCCCCAAATTGATGCCAGGGGGTGACAGTGGGGAGGGGCCGGGCAGGGGGCGGGGGTGGCCCAGCCCCGCGGGGGGGGACACGGGGCTGCGCCGACCCCCGGGATGGGCACAGGGCGCCGGGAATCCCGTCCCTGCCCGCGGCCAGGGAAGCCTTTGGCTCCTCCGCCTTCCTGGGTTCCTGCCCTGGAGCCACGCGCGGCTCCGGGAGCCTTCCCGGATCGCTGGAGCCTTCCTGGAGCGTTCCCGGAACATTCCCAAGCCTTTCCAACGCTCCCGCCCGTCCCCTCCAGCGAGAGGCAACCCCAATCCCAGGGTGGGACCCCGGCCCCTCCCCAGCTCCCACCTGCTCCCAGTTCCTGTTCCTGTTTGCTCACCGGGCTCCCTCCCTGCCCCGCTACACGTGGCTGATAAGGCACCTCCCGGGCGCTGCCAGCGGCCTTTTCCCGGCGCTGCGGAATTCCCAAGCCGTGGAGCATCCCCTCCTGGTACCCGCGGGGTGCTCCCCCATCCCCGATCCCACCGGGGAAGCACCGCAAGCGAAGCCAGCGCCGGCTTCCATCCCTCTGGAATCACATCCCGGGGGTCCGAGGAACGCCCCCACACACAGGAGGGAGCACGACCCCCCCCAAATTCCCGTTCCAGGATGGCCGACAGCCACGGCTGGTGGAAGCTGACGTTCCTGAGGAAGCGCCAGGCAGCGCCCACGGTGCTGTACGAGACCCCCGACGGCCCCGCGGCCCCCGGGGGGGACACCCAGGAGGGCACCGGCCCCGAGGGACCCCCCGGCTTCGCCGCCCGCCTGGAGAAGCTCGTGGACAAGAGCACCAAGGGGAAGCACGTCAAGGTCTCCCACTCGGGGCGCTTCAAGGAGAAGAAGAAAGTCAGGGCGACGCTGGCAGAGCACCCGAACCTCTGCGGGGCCGCCGAGAGGGAGGAGAAGTGACCCGGCGGGATGTCACCCTCCGGCCCCCCCGGGAATGCCGATCCACGCGGCCCCGGGAGGAGAGAGGACTCGGGATGGGGTTTATCCCAGGGAGAATCACGGACCCGGGATGGTTGAGCCCGTCCCTCCCACCGCCCCTCCCCAGGCTGACTGGTTCATACTGGGATGAGGACACTCCCCCCGAGCCCAGAGCCCACCCAGCTCTGCCCCCATCCCATTCCCGATCCCGAGCTCCCAGTCCCACGCCGTGTCCTTGCCAAGTCAGCCCCAAAACTCGGGATGTGCCACTTCCCTGCCCCGCTGGGCCAGTCCCCCCGGAGCTGCCTCCACGGGGGGCTCCCGGGAGGAGCAACATTCCTCAGGGAATCGCTCCCCGCTGCTGGAAGGGGGGAGCCGACCCCGGGGGGCTCCTGCTGGTTGCTGGGGGTGTTGGAAGCTCTGGCACCTGCTGCTAATTAACTGCTGTTAATAAACCAGGGAGAGCTCAGCACATCCCTGGATCCAGCCTGGCAGGGTGGGGGGGGCTCTGGATCCTTCCAGGACTCGAGTGGGAGCGGAGCCATCCCGGGGAATCCCTGACCCCGTGGGGGTGGAAGCAGAGGCAGCTCCAGGGAGAGCTCAGCAGATCCCTGGATCCAGCCTGGCAGGGTGGGAGGAGGGCTCTGGATCCCTCCAGGACCCCACTGGGAGCGGAGCCATCCCGGGGAATGCCCGACCCCCTGGAGCAGGGACGCGGGGGGATTCCAGGGACACGGGGGGGTGCCCGCGGTGCCCTCCCTGCCCCGCAGGGCGCGGCCGTGCCCCAACTCCGCAGGCTCCGAGCACTTCCCAGCTCTGACAAAAGCCCGGCGGGTGCCAAGTGCCCGTTTCCCGGCCCGGGGGCAGTGCCAGGGCCGTGTTTGCTCTCAGGCTGCTCTTTGTCCCGGGAAGGGAGCGACGAGGGAGAGGAGGGAGGAGCCCGTGGGATCATTAACGCCCATCCCGGGGGGTCTGGGCTCGGGTCCTGCTCCTCCTGCCGGGACTGGGGGGGGGTCCCAGCCCCTTCCTGGGACACCCCCTGTCCCCTCCTGTGCCTCTGTCCCCTCCTGTCCCTCCCAGTGCCGAGGGATGGGCACGACTGGGAGGGGCTGTGACAGCCCCCCCCTCCCCGCACCAGGGTGGGAACCACATTTGGGGTGGCTTGGGGTCCCCCAGACCCTCCCTGGGGTGGTTTGAGGCTCTTCAGGAGCAGGTTTGGGGGTTTTGGGGGGGGAGGAGCTTTGAAGGGTTTTCGGGGTGGTTTTCAGGTCTCCAGAACCTTTTTGGGGGGACTGGGGGCTTTTTTGGGAAGGGGGGGGTGTTGAGGTTCTTCAGGGGTGGTTTTGGGGCTCCTTAGGGTGGTTTGAAGGTCTCCAGATGATTTTTAAGGGCGGTCTGAGGTTCTCCAGGGACGCTTTTGAGGGGTTTGGGGGCTTTTTAGGGGCGGTTTGATGTTCTCCAGCTCCATTTTGGGGTGGGTTTAGTGGTTTTTACCCTATTTGGGGCCAACTGAAGCTGGTTTTTATCCCACTTTGGGGTCCCTGACCCCTCTTTTCCCAGTGATATCCACATGTGGTTCCCACCAGGGGAGCACAATCCAGAGGCTGGGATGGCAAACACGGAGCAGGGAAGGAGGGGGAAGGTTATCAGGGCCTGGTTTCACTGGGATGTGACCCAGTGCCGGCTCCAGGGCCGGGATTCCCGGCTGTTCCAGGAGAGCCCGGCCCCGTGTGGGTAAAAATTAACCCAAAACCTCCTCGGGGACATCCGGATGGGATTTTTCCAAGCTCAGCTGGAGAGAGGGACAGGGGGAGGGTTGGGGGGGATCCCACAGCGCTGGGACAGAGCCCAGGGGTGACACCGGGGTGACATTAATGAGGCAATTAAACAAGAGCAAGAATACCTCGGGAACTGAGCACATTCCATGATTCCAGCTAAAACAGGATTCCAGCTAAAACAGGATTCCAGCTAAAACATGGAGCACAAGCAGTGGCAGTGGCAGGACTGGTGCTGGGGCAGAGCCAGGGGTGACACCGGGGTGACATTAATGAGGCAATTAAACAAGAGCAATAATACATTGGGAATTGAGCACATTCCATGATTCCAGCTAAAACACAACTCCAGCTAAAACACGATTCCAGCTAAAACACAGAGCACAAGCAGTGGCAGGACTGGCTCTGGGACAGAGCCAGGGGTGACACCGTGGTGACATTAATGAAATAAATCAATTAAACAAGAGCAAGAATACACTGGGAATTGAGCACATTCCATGATTCCAGCTAAAACACGATTCCAGCTAAAACACGATTCCAGCTAAAACACGATTCCAGCTAAAACACGATTCCAGCTAAAACACGGAGCACAGGCGGTGGCAGTGGCAGGACTGGGGAGGGGGGCGGATCACTGGGGTCACAACTGGGGTCTCTCCACAATCATGAACACGATTAATTAACCCCCAGCAGCACCGGATGCGGACGAAGGCGCCGGGAATTCCCGGGGGTCGGATGCGATTCCCAGCGCCCCACGAGGGGCCGGTGGGGGGGTGGCTCTGGCACAGGGGGCATTCCAGAGCGGGATCCTCAGGGGGAGAAGCGCTCGTAGACCCAGTCCCCGTGGCCGGGGTGGGTCATGGCCCCCAGCGGGGCCGAGCGATCCCGGAGCCTCCGGAACACGATCCGGTCGTGCAGCCGGTTGGTTTGGCCCTGCCAGAACTCCACCACCTCCGGCTCCAGGATGTACCCACCCCTGGCAGGGGCACACGGGGCGTTAGGGGGGCGCAGGGGGTGAGGAACCCCCCGCCTGCAGCCCCCCAGGACTCACCAATAGTGCGGTTTGGGCACCGGCGTGTCCCGGAATTTCTCCTCCAGCTCCGCGTTCCTCTTCCTCAGGTACTGCGGGAACGGGGAGGGGTGAGGGGGGCGCTGGACGGGGCAGCCCCTGGTGGTTCCCTCGGGAAGGGCGGGCTCACCTCCCGGTCGGGGATGACGGAGCTCTGCCGGCTCACCACGGCCCCGATCTGGCTGCTCCGGGGCCGGGAGTAGAAGTAGCGCTCGGATTCCTCCTCCGGGAGCCGCCTCACGGAGCCCTCCACCCGGACCTGGGGCGGGAACGGCGCCTGAGAGCCGGGACACGGCTCCCGAGAGCCGGGACACGGCTCCCAGGGGGCTCCCGAGCGGGGAACAGCCCATTCCATGACTGCTCCCCCCAAAACACAGGCACCACCATCACCTGGGACCTGGACAACAGCTCCAAAGGGGCTCCTGAGCAGGGAAACACCCCATTCCCTGACTTTCCCACCCCATTCCCTGCCTTTCCCACCCCATTCCCTGCCTTTCCCACCCCATTCCCTGACTTTCCCACCCCAAAACACGGCCACTCCCCATCATGCCTCACCCTCAGGGGGTGGGACCCATCCGAGTGTGACCCCCCCACGCTCCATGGGAGCCCCAGGATCCCCCTGGACACCATTCCAAGGAATCCTCTGTGCTCCCCCCACCCCCCAGGGGACCCCCCCTCACCTGCCGGCTGAGGGGCTCCCAGTAGAAGACGAGGGAAGCGAAGGGATTGGACTCCTGGGGGGAAGGGGAGGGAGCTGTCAGTGCTCCCACAGCATTCCCAGCTCCAGAAATCCGGGATACCCCGGGATCTGCTGCAGCAGGAGGTGCCCCCACGGGGTGGGCACGGCCTTGACCCAAAACGGGGCTGTTTGGCATCACAGGGTCGGTGCAGAGGGGCTGGGAAGGTGCTGCCACCCTGGGGAACCCCCAGAGCCCACCCAGCACCCCCAGAGCCCACCCAGCACCCCCAGTGTCCCCCCAGCATCCCTGGAACCCTCGAACCCTCCCCCCTGTGCCCCCAAAGCCCCTCCAGCACCCTCAGAACCTCGAAGCATTCCCAGAGCCCCCCCAAGGGCCCCAGTGTCCCCCCAGCACCTCCAGAGCTCCCCCAGAATCCCCAGCACCCCCAACCCCCCTCAGCACCCCCAAAGCCCCCCCAGCACCCCCAGAGCCCCTCCAGCACCTCCAGAACCTCCAAGCACTCCCAGAGCCCCCCCAAGAGCCCCAGTGTCCCCCCAGCACCCCCAGTGACCCCCCCAGCACCCCAAAAGCACCCCCAAAACCCCTCCAGCCCCCCAGAGCCCCCCTAGCACCCTCCAGCACCCCCAGAACTCCAGAGCACCCCCAGAGCCCCTCCAAGAGCCCCAGAGCCCACCCAGCACCCCCAGTGACCCCCCAGCACCCCCAAAGCCCCCCCAGCACACCCAAAGCCCCTCCAGCACCCCCAGAACCCTAGAGCACCCCCAGAGCCCCTCCAGCACCCCCAGAACCCCTCAGAACCCCCCAGAGCCCCCCCAAAACTTCCCCCCAAGCCCCCCCCCCAGCCCTCACCAGCTCCCTGCCCTTCCTGCTCTCGTGGTTGGTGAAGAAGCGGAATCCGTCCTTCCCGAATCCCTTCAGCAGCACCATCCTGGCCGAGGGCTTCCCATCCCTGGAAGGGGGGGGTGAGGACAGGACAGGACCCCCCCCAAGGCCAGGGGACCCCCGTGTCACCCCCCTCGGTGTCACCTGGAGCAGGTGGCCAAGCACATGGCGTTGACCTCCCCGATGCCCGGGCACTGCCGGGCCTCCTGGAACCAGGCTTGGAATTGTTCTATGGGATCGTGGGACACCAGGTGCTGCTCCTCGAAGGCCTGGGGACACGGGGGGACAGGTGTGAGGCGCGGGGGGACACGCCCTGGGGTGGGGGGACACGGGGGGGTCCCGCTGGATGCAGGGGAGGGGGTGACACCCACACGGGGGGAGCTGGGAGGGGAAGGAGGGGGAACCCCAGGGCTTTGGGGACAGTCTGGGGGGGGTCACCCATGGTCTTGGGGACAAGTCAAGGGGTCACTTGATATCTTGGGGACAACTTAGGGGGTCACCAGAGGTCTTGGAGACAACCTGGGGGGGTCACCTGAGGTCTTGGGGACAACCTAGAGGGTCATCTCAGGTCTTGGGGACAGTCTAGGGGGGTCACCTCAGATATTGGGGTCAACTTAAGGGGTCAACAGAGGTCTCAGGGACAAAGTAAGGGGTCACTCAAAGTCTTGGGGACAGCTCGGGGTGGGGGGTGCCCTGGCCCTGGGGTCACTGCCAATACGGTGGGGGGGTCCTGAGGGCCTTGGGGACATCCTGGGGGGGGTCACCCTGGCTGGGGGGGGTCCCCGTGCCTTGGGGACACACTGGGGGGGAGGACTGAGGAGGGAATACCCCGGCTGGGGGGTTCTCTTACAGAAGGGGGGGTTCCCCGGGCCCTGAGGACACCCTGGGGGGTCCCCCCAGCCCAGCCCCCCCGTGTCCCCCCTGTCCCACCTCGGTGTCCCCCCGGTATTCCTTGCGCAGCCCCTCCAGATCCATCGCCACCGACCCGGAGGGGCCTCCCCCGCGCCGGGGGCGGGGCCAACCGCGGCCGCGCCTCCATTCGACA